TCAAGACTGATGTCTATAATTCACAGGGGGGAAAAAACGCATGACTTTTAATCGACGATACATGGAGTAATAAAAACTGGTTCCCAATAATCTCGTGCAAAGTAAATAAATTCTCGCATGATCGTAATCATAAAATCACGTATCGTGAATAAGAAGTTTATGAGAATGCGATCTGGTCATAAAGCAAAGTCCGTATCCTTGATGTACGTGTAATACACGAGAAACGAATATTCGATAAATAACGCAAGCAACACAAGGAAATCTTCTCGACGAAAATGTCAGATATGTAGCCGATTTTGAGAAAGACTTCGGAATTCCATTCGAAGGGATCTACTTTTTCTGATATATTTTTCCAATGAAGTCCCGGGAACAACGCGACCTCGTTTCAAATGATAAACAACGATTGAAGAAACTGGCGGAGCTCCTGCATTTCGAGAGAGAGAGAGAGACTCGTCCTTCGTCTTTGCAGAAAGAGATCCGGAAGCAGGAATAGCACGTGTAAATAAAGAAGCTGCTATTTGAACGCGTCTGTAAATCAACGAAAGGAATTCCGACTTTTCCGAAGGAAGGAAAGAGTTGACAAAAAGTCCATTTTATCATTTAAATAAATAAATAAGCACTTTTTTTTTATTTAAATCGACGAGAAAGGGTATGGTTTTCTAATGAAAGGAATATAGTTGATGAAAGAACACGAATCATTGATTTAACATCCCAATCTCAGAAAACAAATTCATTATATATTTTCGGTTTTATTTATTTTCGTTAAAAGAATCTCATTTCGATAAAATAGAAATCAATGAAATCGATAATAAATCGAGAAAAATTTAATCTCTCAAACCAAGAGAAATAAATAAAATAAGAAAATGATAAATACATATGCATTGCATGAATATTACATTTAAACAATCAATAATAAATTCATAAAAGAAATACGAATTTCCCAATTAAAAAAAAAAACAAATAAAATAAAAGAATAAAAAGAATTTATAATCTTCGAATCTCAAAAACTAAAATTATTATTTAGTTTATCGTTTCGAGAGTGAATATATTTAATTGTGAATTATATAAATAATTTAGTGAATTAATAATTAATCAACGAAAGGGATTCTAATTTCTCAATAAGTAAATGAAAAAAAATAAGTGAAACAAGAAAACGGTGAAGTTTATAATCTCGTAACCTTGAAAAACGAATTTGCTATATATTTTCCACGTTCCGATTAAATTCGACAATTTCTATTCAATCAAATTTCAATTACAGTATAACTGGTATAAAACCCATTTACTAAATAATGACTATTGAAACGAATCGCCGGCGTTATTTGCGTTCAATTTCACTGAACTAATTTTATTGGATTTTATGGAAATCTTTCAATCCGATCGAAAATTTCTATATAAACACCGCGAGCGTTTAATGAATTAAAACAAGATAACGTCGAAGATTGGAATTTCTTTAATCGTTTCAATTACGTAATTACAAATAATAATAAAGAGTTTATACTAAATATATTGTTTCTATTTAATAGCATCAAAAGTGTCGTGAAGCACAATTTGTACAGTTTTCAAGAAACATTTTTTAGAGCAACTTTTTTTTTTTAATTTTTCCAGAAACAACTTTTTTAAATTAATGAAACGGATATGTACTTGTTTTCTATATCAGAATAAAATAAACGTCCGTTTTATTCATTATTATTTATTATTTAAAAAGTTGAAAAATAAAAAAGAAATTCACGTGTAAATAAACTTGTATTAATTTCACTCGATAGTGAAGATATTTCACAGTAATTAAATAGAAAGAGAAAGTACATTCAAAGCTTCTGCCATAGGCCAAAATGCTGATGTATAATTATCTAACACCTTTAAGAGCAGAATGAAACTTTGAAATTTGAAACATTTCAATTTGATCAGTGAGTAATAAAATAAATAAGTAAATTAAATTAAATAAATTCTGTGCCTAACAGAATTCAAGAAAAATCGTATAAAGTTAAGTTTCAGATGTTACAGTACAGATGTACACATGAGAAATCCAAATTTCCTACTTTTTAACTTCCCCTATAATAAATGACAATTTGATAAATAATTTTACAATGTGACACTGTATATCAAAGAAACACCTTCGTCTGAGCCACTAGAAGTTCATTCTCAATCAAAGAGATAAGAAGAGAAATTAATTTTTCCAAACGACAAGCAACGCTGCTCCATCGAATTTTCTTCAGGATTCAAAGAAGGTAAGGGACAGCAGCAAGAAGATATCACCATCTAAATTCCGTGATAATATCATTGACACTAAGAGGTTCGAATTGAGCCGATAATAGATTAAATCACGTCCCCTCGGAACGAATTACGAAGAGAAACCGTTTGAAAGACGCTGCCAGACAAAACTCACGTACTCTCAACTCACCGACTCTCACCCCGGAGATTAACCCTTTCAATTTTGATTTTTGATTAAACATAATCAACATATAAACTTGTTTTATTCTATGACATATAATTTTAAAATCTTTCCTTTTGTTTCAAATATACAAAATGCGGAAAGTATTGATTTTAAAGAATTCTGGTACAATTCCAGAAAAGTACCAATTTCAAAATATTTTGGAATAAAAATGACATGACGTGGGTTTAAATACATTCGTAAGATAGCATAATATATTAGATCTCTGACTTTTTAAAAAATATTAAAATAATATGTAAAAATTCGTCTGGGACATACAATCGATCACAAAATTAGCGTAGTTACTTAACTGTTAAAAATCATCATATAGTGATATAGGAGAATATAGTGAAGTATATTAGATCATTCCTTATTTTATATACTAATTTCTTTTATTGTATATTTACCATAAATACATTTACAATAAATATATCCTAAACTAATATATCCTTGCAATTCCTAATGACACCCATTAAAATCCAACGTAACATTTCTTTTGAACTTCTTCTGAATCAACCTCTATCTTTAATATTGGCAACGAAAGAACATTCGAAGAATTCATTTTAATATTTTCTTCGTCCGCCTAGAGTCTATCATTTTTCGTGGAAATTTAAGGAGAAATTCAGAGTTTGAAATATTGTAATAAATTACAGCTTGGTACTTAACCGGGAAGAATGTGAACTGGAAATAAAAACGACCGACTGCAAGTCCTGTACGAGACCGACTAAATCTGAGAAAGAAAAAGAAGAAACGTAATTGAATCGTGAGCGTGCAAGTGTAAAAGAAGAGAAGCGAACTACTTCTCGCGCCGCGCACTCGGCATTGGATTGTTCCTCGGATACGCACGTAATTTTAGAACTTGGCACAATTTGATTTTATTTTCATTCAGACCGTACTTCGTACGTCGCTTCTTGACACTGATTGTGAGTTCCCGGCTGTATCCCGACCAGACAACGTGTCTCGATTTCACTCGACAGCTTCCGCATGAAATTCTACCATCTGTTGCTCCCTCGCCGTGAGAAAAATGATCGAAACATTTCAAAGTTCGAAAATCACGAAGCCTGAAGGAAACGAAAATTGGCGAATATTGGCAAACAACGTCGAGGATTTCGACGAAAGAATAACAAATTTACGTGTACCGTTCGAATAATCGTAATGTCAGGAACAATATCCGTGAAATATTATTATTATCACTGTTATTATAGAAGCATTTCAAGTCGTCACGTTCGAATTTTATTAGTTTTGCTATCGAGGTTCTCTGTGTATTTTTGTAAAAGATTCTAAAATACAAAATGGCGCCGAATGGCACGTAATATGAAAAAATAGACAAACTATAGTAAATTAACGATAATGTATTGAAGGACAAATAATTTTAATAGCGCAACAGCTTAAGAGAAAATGATCCAAAAATAATAAAGCAAAAAAAAAAGTACAGAATTAATTTTTATACCTAATGTTTAAAATAATTATGCATTTGATCCGGAAAATAATTTCTTTTCAGTTTATTTTTTTATTTGACTAACAAACGATATAACTTTTCATTTTATTTTTTGTTTTGTATCTGAATAAATTTTTATTTAAATACTTTCTATACCTGAAATAATTCATTATTTAATTAATCATTATATAATTTTGTAATTCATTATTTTGAATTGTTATTCTATTCTAAATAAAATCTAGTCTAAAAACTTAATAAACCATACAATATTTGCTACATAAAAATTACTCTTTCAAAAATATTAATTTACACGGAAATCTATGGTCTATTTATTAGATCAGCTTATATAAAATAATGGACTTGGCAAATATGTAAAATTATTCAGAATTTAGCAAAGAAAGTGTTGTTGAATGATATTTATTAGATGTTGATTTGAAGTTTGCTGAAGAAGTTCCAACACCCTGTCCAAATAATCATAAAGCCAGAAATAAGATCCACAAAAAGACAGAAATTATTATACAAGTATCTTGCTTTTTCACAATCGAATTAACTGTGGATCTTTGTGCATTTCAAAATACAAAATTGCACGTAATATGAAAAAGTGAATAAAATATTCAAGTACTTTCTCTAATATTTGGTACGTGAAACAATTTTCTCTTATTTCATTGAATCACACTAAAATTTCTAATTTTAATTTTGTCATGTTCTACCACGAAGAATATAATGTGAAATGAAATTTTAGTAACCTAATTACTATTGTCATCTATAGCCCAACGATAATATCTGAGAGACAATTATACCCTCAAAAATATAAACTTACATAAAAATCAATAATTTATGCACAATTAGATTATTCCATATGACTTTCTTAGATGTGAAAAATTTAGAGTGTTCAATAACACTCATTAAATATCGAGTGTTCAGTTTTAGAAATGACTTGATTCTTTTAAAAAAATGAGTTAGATTACACCGACAATCTGCTCGAAACAATTAATTCATCGTATATATATTATTAATTTTTTGTACAGTCCTTGATTGATATTAACACTTTCGAACTCTTAATAATTTATAGTAAACGCTCTAAGCGGACGTTCCATTCAAAACCACGTCGTAAGAAGTAATATGGAAACAACGATAGTCAAAGAGGTGATTCTCGGTTATTCCCCTTCCCTGCAATTTTATTCTCGAGACCCACTTCCAGCAGAACGAAACTCGAAGGGGGAAGATAGAATAACTGGCGTTCACACTCTTGTCGAAAGCTCGCTGTTTGATAAACCAACGAGCCAGATTGTATGAAAACTGACGTTTATTTCGATAAACCAGGCGTGCATACGATCGAAACAATCCAGCATGAACTGGTTTACAGTGTAAAGGTGCGTGCAGATTTGTTAATATACATTGTATTACTGTTATCTACTGTGCCATAATATTACAATAACAATTGTAAAAATAGTGTTTTATTACTACGTCGTAATATTATAAATCGTTACTTACGGCAACTGAACGTCGATAAAGTGGCTCCCTTCTACTACCA